CTACCACTTGAGCCACAGCACCACTTCCGGCTTTTTTTTCTTTTTGCTTATGTGGTGCTGAGGAATCGAACCCAGGGCCTCATGCATGTAAGGCAAGCGCTCTACCACTGAGCCACCTTCCCAGTCCCTTCTTGTCTTTTTTTAAACAAAGTAAACAGGTGATCAAAATCTTTGAAATGTGTGTTCTGTTTTCACTCTTTTTCTGTCTCAATCACTAAGATAAACACATAGGCTGGCTATAAGGCTAGTTTGAGTAATAAGCTAAAGACATTTAAATATAAGCCTAAATTTCAAAATCATTGAAGTCTCAAGATCATTGTTCAGAGAAACAAAATTCTGAAATTTATGAAAGGCTCAGAGGGATTAATGGGGTCTCCTACACTTGAAAATGTGATAGAGAAAGAGTTTGATTTTAATAGAAAGCAGAGCATTAAAGGATTGATTGCTTCATCTTTAAAATGCCGTGTTTGTGTGTGTGTGTGTGCGCGCACACACACACACACACACACTCTTGAACTCAGGACCTCACACTCTTGATTACCTTTTTCTGCTTAAGGCCTGACCTCTACCTCCACTTCCACCTTTTTAGGTGATTAATTGGAAATAAGAGTCTCATGGACTTTCCTGCTATGTTGGCTTCCAACCACAATCTTCAGAACACAGCCTCCTGAGTAACTAGTATTACAGATATGACCTTCTGGCTCCTAGCTTTAAAAAAAAAATTGGGAATGGGAAAGCATACTTTGTGATTGTAAGCCAAACAGGAAAGCTGCTTCTTTACCCAGCTGAGGAGTTTGTGGCCATATTTCTGACCGAAAACATGGATAAATGCAGAAAGCAAGAGGAATGAAATAGACATGAATGGAAAGGCTCCAGCAAAAATTAAAAAGGTACATGAGAAATGTGAGGTAGATAAATGCAAGAAGGAAGGAGATGATGAGATGAAGGAGATTCAGTTTTTATTTAAATATTAAAGACTCTTGGAAGACGGCAGGGAAGGCCAGTGAAGGACCCTGGTTTGAGGAGTACCCCCGAAAGATGTTGAGTACAACAGGGCTGGCAGAGGGTGGTACTGCATTCACAGGCCGAGGCTAACTAACATCTTCGAATGTGGAAATAAAGAAATACCACCTACATCTGTGACATGAAAATAAACCCTAAGTGAGTAGATGCGAGTTAGAGGGAAGGGGAACATGGGTGCCAATGTTGCAGGCAATCGCCAAAGAGAAGAACCGGATAGGGGCTGTCGCTGGGATGTGAGGCGGGCATTACAGAGCCAGGAAGAGGAAGAGCTAGGTAATCCGAGATACCCAGGCCGGGGTGGGGGTGTAGGATCAGATCTGACCATCGCGGTTCAAAGCCAGCCCCGGGCAGGAAAGTACTCGACGCTCGTATTTCCAACTAACCACCCAGAAGTCGGAAGTGAAGGTGTGAAGGAGGAGCCCGGGGGTTTGGGGACAGAGCGGCCACTGGGGGAAAGGGACAAGGGCCACCGGGGAGGGGGACAAGGGCCACCCGGGGAGGGGGCAAGGGTCACCGGGGAGGGGGGCAAGGGCCACCGGGGAGGGGGACAAGGGCCACCCGGGGAGGGGGACAAGGGCCACCGGGGAGGGGGGGCAAGGGCCACCGGGGAGGAGGACAAGGGCCACCGGGGAGGGGGGCGCGGGTCCACAGCAGGGGAGAAGCGGGGTGGGGCGGGAGCGTGAAGTCCCAGACCCAAGTGAGAGGCCGGGCAGCGGCCGCCGCACCTCACGGACAGGGCCGAGGAGCCGCCCTGGTGGGAGGCCTCGTCTCGCTCCCGGGTTTGCGCCATACGTCGTGTTTCTTTCGGCCGGGCGGCAGGCAGCGGACGCGAGGCCCGGCTCCGGTCGGTAACGGCGTCTCCGCCGCCCCGCCGGCGTGGCTCTGGACGCCGCTGTTGTTTACTCAGGTATCCAGGAGACTGCAAGCCCGGCGCCCATTGGCTCTGCCTTTGGCCGGCACGCTGTCCGTCTCTCCGTAAGCGGATTGGTCAACAGCTTCCAGACCTCAGCCAATGGGAGAACCGTACGCGAAGCGAAGGGCGGACTCTTCCCAACTGAGTAGTAGGTGTATTAGCCCCAGACAAGTAATTATAATATTAATAAATGTGTTAATTATAGTATTAATAAATATCTACTCAGGGCTGGCAGGAACAACCAATGTTAAACGCCATGTACGCAACATTTCACTTAAGCTTCCTTCCTGTACCCCATCAATCTCATTTTAGCCATCCGGAAAGTGACTTGCCCAAGGTTACAAAGCTTCAATGGACTTAAAATCCAGGTCCAATCTAAACCCAGAGCTCCAAGTCCTTAATTACGGTATAACCCCCTTCTCCCTCACTCCACTTCTCCCCTTTCCCCCTTCTTTTTCCCTTTTCCCCCTTTTCTCCTCCCCTCCTTCCTCTCCCTTCCCCCTTTCCCTTTCCCTTCCTTTTTCTTTTCCTTTTGTATATTTTGTATTAAATAACCTAGCTAGCTCTCAGGTTTCTAGACCCACCTCCGCCCCCTCCTGGGGTTTGAACTCAGGACCTAGGCACTGTCCCTGAGCTTTTATACTTTAGGCTAGCCCTCTCTCAAGGCATGAGCCCCCAGCGCCTCCAGCTACAGACACACAGACACCCACACAGACAGACACAGACAGACACACACACACACAGACACCCCCACACACAGACACAGACAGACAGACAGACAGACACACACACACACCTTTTAAAGAAAGATTCACTCTGTAATTCCAGACACTGACACTTTTAGCCCCTGGGAAAGAGACTTCAATTTTGGGCAGAGGCAGGAAGTTGGAAATCTTGAGGCATTAGAGCCCAGGAGCCTGGGGACCAGGAAGGTTGCAAACTTGGAAGCCTAGGTAGCTGTGAGACAGAGAAGGTGGTAGCCCCAGGAGTGAAGGAAATTTTATTTCACTTCTGAATTTTATTTTGGAAGGAAACTCTTCATACTGAGAATACCAGGCAGCAACAATATGTTTAATTGGGCACTGAAGGAAATTCTTAGGCCCAGTAAGCTCTCTATCAGTGTTATAAAAGAGTCCAACTATTTGGATGACCCGAATTTAAGTGAAAGAAAGCTCCACAAGAGCCACCACATCTGGAGTAGAGATAAAATGAGAGGCTCAGGAGGCTCAGTGAAGCCTCAGCTCACACTTAGAGCTGCTCTGATTTCCTCAGAACCCAGAGGGAGGTTGAACAAAACACATGTGTAACACTTTTGAAAGCACCCTTTCCCACATCAAGGAAATGTATAGTTGCAGGAAGTGACCTAATCAAATGGTCAACTGCTTGTCTATTGCCTTTCCTCTTGTGTCCTCCTATCCAGTCCCTGTTCTCCCTTCCTTATTCTCTCCTTCCTTCTACTCCACTCATTTCCTCTTCCTTTCTCTTCACCTCCTTTCTTCAATTTTCTCCTTCCAGGCTTGCCATCGTCAAGCCAAAAACACATGGAAAGGTCTGGTGCTATAGCTCAGTGGTAGAGAGATTGCTTGGAATGCACTTGAAAAAGAGGAAAAGACTTATTTGGAGCTTTGCAATTGTAATAATGTGCGTGCCATAATAAACTATGGGCATATTCAAACAGGTTAAGGCAAAGATAATTTTTAAGTTAAAAATAAATTTACAGAAGCCGGGTTTAAACGTGGCGCCGCCGTAGCTCTCCTTCCCGGGAAGGATGAAGGCGTCCTGGAATCCCCGCCCGGACTCCTGAGATCCGGGGTCCCTGCCTCAGGAGCCGGTTAATCGTCTGCCTGAAGGGATGGAGTCCGGACGGGAGAATAGAAGTTGCCCTTTAATTCTTTTTCCGTCTGTCCGCCTGTCCTCTGCCTCTACTGCGGGCGCAGCCTCTGCGTAGCTCAGAGCTGGAAGTTGAGTGTGTGGCCCAACTCCGGAGAATTGGAGACAAATTGAATTGTCCTGGGTGTGGCCCAGAGCTCCTTGGATCGCTGGCGGAGATGCCTGGGAAGAAGGTACTGAAGGGCGCCCCGCGGAGCCCCGCTCCGATGCCCGCAGAACTGGAAGCTGAGTGCATTCAACTCAGGAGAATTGGAGATAAATTGAATTTCCGGCAGAAACTTCTGAATTTGATTTCTAAACTCTTCAGCTTAATAACATGACTGCTTTTAAATGTTGGTGTGAGGGGACTCCTTTAAAGAGGAAGTTTCCCAGTGGGTGCAAATTTCAACAGAAGATGAAGTTGCCTGGTCATTGACAGGAGTGTGAAGGAAATTTCCTTGCTGCTAGGTTGAGGGAAGACGGAATGAAGCAGACACCAGTTTCTGCAAGGAGGTTCCCAGAATCACTCCAGAGATGTGAGAATCTTGCAAAACCACTTTAAGTAAGCATGGAATAGCCTTGAAAATAGGGAAGCAATTATGAGCCCATGTCTTTGTAGGGACTTGTTTTTATCATTTTTGCTGAAGGTGGCTATCTAGTGTGAGGATGTGACACATACTTGCAGCGGGCAGGAGGGAAATGGTTCCGTGTCTTTTACTTATTTGATGACAACTCCACAACACGGTCGACATACAACCCTTAGAAGAGGAAAAGAATTTCATTTTGACAACACTGAATGTCATAGTGAACATTCATTTTTCATAGGTCACTACAGAATGTAACATAATTTTTTTTTTACTTGAACTGTTAGATTTCTTTTCTGAGGACTGTTAAGTATGTTTCTTTGGCCTCAAATGGAAAATGTAAAAAGCTAGAAAGTAACTCTGAAAAAAAAATGGAAGTATGGTAGGGTTTCTTGGTGCCTGTAAAATGCTTGTAGATTGAATATTAAGTGATTAAAAAAAATCTTTGGTCTTTTGTATAAACAAGGGGAATGGGAAGAGAGGAATTTGACTTTAACTGATAAAATTAAAACTTAGTAAAACACATATAGGTTCCTAAAAAAGTGTAAGATACCCTCTCTCCCGTTAGTTGGTATCATTCTACAAGTGACCTTTTAAAAGAAATTAGAATATTTTCAAGATTGAGATACTTTTAAGCGTGAGCAGATATTTCTGAATAATGAAAAAGCATATGCATATATATATATATATATATCTGTGAATAATTTATATTAGTCCGTATATTTTTAAACTGAATGAGTTTCATTTTTAATCTGGGGTATCTAAGAATGAAACTCAAAAGTAATCAATAACAAAGCATGGTGGTGTCTAGCAGATACATGACAGAGAAACATGAGTACAAATCATAATGAGTTGTCATCTTGCACATGCTACATTGGCTATTACCAAAAAGACGATGCCTGTATCACAGTGGTCATGAGGCTTGTGGATTGTGAGGTTTAGGTCAGGTTGCAATACATGGTTACCCCCTGTCTCAAAAAAAAAAAAGATGAAAGAAGGATGTAGAGAAAACACCCTTATTAGTGTAGCCACTTTGGAAAACTGGATTTTTCTTTAAAAATTAAGAACAGTCTTTGATCCAGCAATCCCACCATTGGGTATCTATACTTAAAAGGATTTGAGAGTTTGCTGAGGGCCTATCTTCTGTATGCCTGTGTTTGTTGCATTATTTACAATAGCCAAGATACGGAAGCACGCTGTCTACATGGGTGAATGGATTTGCAAAATGATAGATTAACTGAAATATTAGCATTAAAAAGGTGTCATAATATGATGGACGTAGAGAACATTTTATTAGGAGAAATATGTCAGGAACAGACAAAATACCATATGCTCTCATATGGTAATCTACAAAAATCAAACAGAAATACAGTAGGGCTGTGATTTCCAGAGTGGATGGACAGATGGGTGGGTGAGAGGAAACTCATTGGTTAAGAGGTACATCAGAAAGGTCTGACACTGGACAGCAAAGTAACTGGTTAATGTATATTTCAAAACAACTAAAAGGGGTGGTAGTGTTCTCATTGCAAGGAGATAGTAAACATGAGGTGATGATATACTGATTATTGTGATTTGGGCATCCCACAGTATAGCCGTGTAACCCATAAAATATATACAATTTATCAATTAAAAATAAATTACCCCAGGGAGGTAATATCATGGAATAATGTCATGATTGAGTTTTACCAGGCGTATTATTTATTTTATCTATTTATAATTAAAATATTTTTTGTTTAGTTTGACATGTGTATTAGCTACATTTCTGTTAGGAGGGCTTCCTACATAACCACTTGGATTACAATAAGAATGTCAATGTAAGCTAGTCACATTGTATAAATTACCTCAGCATCTGTCTTCAGTATTAAAGTTATTTGTTGCCAAGGTTAAAAAAAATAAAAAAAAATAAATTTACACCATATATTCTGAAACACTAAACCTTGGCTAGAATGATTATCCCACAAGAATGTTGTCATTCTATGAAGGACAGACAGTTGATTGACAGGTGTCTTGTAGAGGTGCTCTTGAATCAGGTCACAGGTGACTTCCATGCAAATCTGTAGTCTGGCAGAATATATATCTTATGGTAGTTACCACCAGGCCATCATGTGCACAAAAACTCTTCCTTTATAACGTCTTGCCTTTATTTATTTTTTGGGTTAGGGAGGTCAAGGTGAATACAAAGGACTCCATTTTGGTTCTGACAACTTTTACACTTGTTTTATGTCATCATCTTTCCTACATTTCCTTTTTTTTTATTGTGAAAATACCATACAGAGGGGTTACAATTACATGCGCAAGGTAATGAGTACATTACCTCCTCCTCCTTTGTTTCCCCTTCCCATCCCTTCCCATCTCCTACATTTCTTTTGAAAGTATTTACTGAAACTCTCTAATATATTCATCGATGGTGCTAGGCACTAGGGA